AGTATTTCTTGTTTTATTTCTGCTTATCTACTAATATCACTTAGCATACTACCCCCAAGGTCTATCCACATGACAAGACTTCATTCTTTGTTATGACTGAATTATATTAATATAGTTTATGGCAATGGCATAAATAATATTTTTTTAATTTATTCATTGATGGAAATAAGTTATTCCCATATCTTATTTATTATTCATATATATTCAGTTTTGCTATCAAGGAAACATGAGGGTGCATATATCTTTTTGAGTAAGATTTTGTTTTCTTTGGTAAATAACCAAAAATAGAGTTACTTAGGCATATGCATTTTTTTGTTTAATTTATTGTGATAAAACACTATACAGATTTCCATAGTTGATGCATCATAGAAAGTTGGAGAATAAAGAGAAAAGATGAAAGTGTAAGAGAAAAGAAGTGGGAGTTATCTAGAAGCAAAAAAAAGGGGGGGGGGAGGAAATTATGAATGTAATATATAGAAAATCGCTAAGCCTAATAAAGACTTAATTCTTTATACAGAAAAGATTTATTCCATGACTAGCATATGAGTGTAAATAAACCTGCATTTGAAACACATTTTTTATATTCTCAAAGGAGTCTTCTCACCAAGATGGTGACAAGAGGAGATTGCTTGTTTCACTCTCAAGAGGATCATCTACACAAAACCCAGGGAGTCCAATGGCTTGGGACACCCTTAGCACATCAGAGACCAACACAGATGGCAACTGAGAAAATGAGAGAGAGAAAAAGGTATGCATCAAAAGTGCATAAGGCCTCCCCTGGTGGTGCAGCAGTTGAGTGCTGGGCTGTGAAGCTGCGGCAGACTCTGCAGCACCGGTTTGATCCCCGGCTACCGGTGAGGGTCCCACATGGTGCGCAGACCTCTCCTGCCGTGCCCGCTGCTCCCCTCAGCAGTATACTTCGGTCCTTCTGCCTGTTCTGCTCCCCATTCTGGGAATTCACCCTCCCGCACTTCTAACTGTACCCAGTGCTTGTATAAACAAACAAACAAACAAACAAATAAATAAATAGGAAATCCTTCTTCCTTAAAATAAAGAGTGCATAAGTGTTCCCTCTTGTATTTATTGATCAACACTTACTTTTTTCTCAAGTTTTCTTTGTATATTCAAGGTTTTGTGATTAAATATGAAGTTTAGGATTTCTGTTTAGTAAGAAATGACTAATTTTAAAGGAAACATCTTAATCTCTCTTAATAGTATGATATTTTTGTTATATGAAATCTTCCACATGAACACGTTGTCTTTCCCTTTTCATATGTGCATCGTCTTTATTTCATCAATATAGTATAGTTTTCAGTGTGCAGATATTTCACCTCTTGGTTAACTTCATTTCAATGTTCTTTTTAATGTTATTGTAAACAAGATTGTTTTCCTTATTTCACTTTCAGATACTTCATTGTTAGTTAGAAAATGAACTGATTATTGTATTTTGATTTTGTATTCTGAATTTTTACTGAATTCATTTATCGATTGTACCAGTATTATTGGTGAGGACTTTAGTTTTTTCTATGTGTATCTATAATATATGATCAATTATTGTGATATGCCAATATAAAAAAGGATAAAAATTAATATGATCATCTTTATAGTTACAAAAAATAATTTGACAAAATGCAGCATCCTTTTCTGGTAATAACTCCCATCAAAGTGTGTATGGAGGGAATACATCTCAACATAATAAAGATCACATGTGAAAAGTCCACTTTCCCTCTAAGATCAAGAGTGAGACAAGGATGCTCACTCTCCCTCTTCATATTCATTGAAGCACTAAAATTAGGAAGGTAGGAAAGAAAACACAAGACATATAAGCTGGGAAAAAAAAAGTAAGTTGCATTATGGATATAATTTTATTTTGTTTATTTTTTTAATATTTTTTTATGATTTATTTATTTATTTATACAAGCACTGGGTACAGTCAGAAGCACGGGAGGGTGAGAGAATTCACCAGAGCCAGAGCGGGGAACAGAACAGGCAGAATGACAAAATACACTGCTGAGGGGAGCAGTGGGCTTGGCAAGAGAGGTCTGTCGAGCCATGTGGGACCCTTGCCAGTGGCCGGAGATCAAACCGGCACTACAGAGGCTGCAGGCAGCTTTGCAGCCCAGCGTTCAACCACTGTGCCACCAGGGGAGGCCCTATGGATATAATTTTAAATTAACCATTCCTTTAATGTATGTTTGCTTGTGCAGTACACTAGCAAAAAAGTATTTATTTTAATTGTCTTCTACAACTGAATATGGTCATACATGTAATGGTAATTTCATGCAATGAACATGGTATGGTAACGATGCATGAATTGCAATATTAGTAATGCTTTATGAAATTACAATGCTTAAACTTTCTTACAGTTTTATAGAATGCTTTATATGTAGCAAATATAAGACAAATGGCTTCTTTGGACAAATTACGATTATAATCAAATTTCATAAATTACTTCAATCAAATAAACATAAGTAAAAACTTTAAAGACTTTCAAAAAATCATTGCAATACTTGAAATTGTATTTTTCTTTCTTGTGGATAGGAATTTGTAAATAATCTGATTCAGTCTGACAGGAAAAGTCTAAAAGCTTCTCCTGTGATCTCCGTTTGCTGGTGATATTCTCATGATTAGGTTACACTATAAGTTAAGGGTAAGTTAGTTTTTCAGCTGTAATTAAGATTCCATATTAGTAGACACTAAGTATTAAGAAACAGCTAATCCTAGATTAGGGTTACTTAAAAGGTAATCCAAATTTAAGAGGATTTAAGCTTTTGTGAGAATCTCCTGCTGACTTTAAAGCAGCATGCAACTATGTATTTATTATTAAGCTGCATAGAACTAAATTATTTCAGCATAAAATGAGCTTGGAAGATGATCTAGATCCTTAGATAAAGCTGGAACCCCAGTCAACACCTGGACTTTTTTCTGTGATACCATGAGTAGAATATCCCATTCAACCATGCTGGACCTCCTGAACTATATAAATGGTGACATAATAAATGGTTATTACTTAGAATTGTTAAATCTATGATAATTTGTTGTGAAAGTAAGAAAAGTGATAGAGTGGAAACTACAATAGAATTTAAACAGAATAGGTCTTATTTATAATAAAATGTAATTTTTCATAAAATGGAGATTTTTCATAAACTCTGATAATTGACTTTTCTTCTTGAAATGTAAGTGACTGATTTATTCTTTGATATTAAAGTATCCTTGTCAAATACAGCTACTTTGAAACCATAGACATAACCCTAGATAAAAAGAAAGGGGTCACACTCTAACTCAAATACTTCTGTTTTACAAATCTTGATTTATTTAGATAACTGAAAATTAGGTTTGACTTGATTTTTTATGACTTCTTTTTGTCTCTTCTCCTGCACTTTAAATTCCCCTTTTAATATTTAATATTCATTATTAGATAGTAAATCCCAATGAACCCTGGAACCCTCACTTCAGACCAAATAAACCAGAATCTCAGGTCCATTCCTCCCTCTCTCCTTTCTCTCTCTCCCATCTCCGATCTTCCTGCTCTCTCTTCTTATGACCTCACTGTGGTTCAGGTATGCAATGCAATTTCAAGGCCTTTAAGCAATAAACCACTCTTTCAAGTGTCAGAGTTTCCTAATGGCTGTTGCTGAAGTACATATTACAATCACAGTAAGAACCCCAAGGACCAGATCATTATTAATATATTAGTTTAAAAGGGGAAATGTCTGTGAGACTCATTGGATCAGGTGAGCATCCCCTGGCATTTCTAGTTGATAGCATCATTATCAATAGGCTGAGATCAACACAAAACAACAACAACAACAAAACGTAAGAACCTTCAAAATTCTAGATAGAAGATAGATAGATGGATGGATAGATCATTGATATAGATGATAGATAGATAGATGGATAGATAGATAGATAGATAGATAGATAGATAGATAGAGATATCATCATAATACTTATGGGCATATCATATATGAGATTTTTGTAAAATATGCAAACCTCAGAAAATCAATATTTTTTCATTAAAAAGATGTTTTAATGCAATTGCAGTAGCTGTATAAGGATCAGGATCTAAGGGTGGAAAATTTATACTTGCAGATTCATATTCACATCTCAGTCATTTATTTATAAGATTGATAAGATAAATTTGACACCAAAAATCCTCCAGTATCTTGAAGGAGGAGTGTCAATTATGCATTCGTTATGCATAAACCTCACTCTAATATCTCTTTGCTCCATTTAGTTAAGTTAAATTCTTTTTTTAATCATCTTAAATTCATACATATAACTCTATGTAAGAAACTTAATCATTCATCTTTTAAAAGAATTATCACTTCAGGGCCTCCTCTGGTGGCGTAGCAGTTGAGTGCTGGGCTGGGAAGCTGCCCAGAGCCTCTGCAGTGCTGGTTCGATCCCCAGCCTCCAGGTGAGGGCCCCACATGGCACGCAGACCTCTCCTGCCACCTGCTGCTCCCCTCAGCAGTATACTTCGTCAGTCTGCCTGCTCTGCTCTCCCCTCTTGCTCTGGTGAATTCTCTCACCCTCCCGCGCTTCTCACTGTACCCAATCCTTGTATAAATAAATAATTAAAAAAATAATTATCACTTCAATTTATTATATTGCACTCAATAGAATACTTTCTTTTAAGCTGAGGTAAAGTCTATTGCAAGTTAAAGACATACTAAGTTTAATTAATACTATCAAGCAATAAGGTATTATGATGGGCAAACAACTCTCATTTATTAACTGGCATTACTTTAAAAGATAAATTATGCATTTTGTCTGTGACAAATATTTAATTATAGCCATATCTTGAATTATCATAAAATTTTAAACATTTGAAGGAAAAAAGAGTGAAAAGAGAATTTTTAGTTTCTTAATCTTACATTGACTACAAATGTACAAAGATGGGTAAATATTAGGTATTGAACTATTTTGTAAAATGTATAAATTTAAGCATAAGCAAAGAACTTGTGGAGAGCAAAACATAAAGACTATTAATCAATTTATTTTCCACACTTGCCCTTCCCTAACACTTTCATGATCGCTCTAGCCACTTCTTTGTTGCGGAGGCTGTAGATGAGGGGATTCAACATGGGTGTGAGGATGGTGTAGAAGGCTGACACCATCTTGTCCTGGATGGGGGATCGATCAGAAGTGGGGCGCATGTATATGAACATAGCAGCTCCGTAATAAAGTCCTACAACGGTAAGGTGGGAGGAGCAGGTGGCAAAAGCTTTCCTACGGCCTTCTCCAGATCCCATGTGAATGACAGCCAGAATAACACGAACATAGGAAGCAATGATAACTGCTACAGGGAAGAGAAGCATAATTACACAGCAGATAAATATCATTCTTTCAAATAGCAATGTGTTAGTGCATGACAGAGTAAGAAGGGCAGGGACATCACAGAAGAAGTGGGGTATTTCCCGGGCACCACAATATGAGAAGGACAGTGTGACTGCAGCTTCAATTATACCATCTAAAGAGCCAAGAATCCATGAAGCAAGAGACATAAGACCACAGATTTTCTGACTCATGAGAACTGAGTATCGTAATGGTTGGCAAATAGCAACGTAACGGTCATAGGCCATTGCAGCCAACAGGAAACATTCCGCTCCAAGCAGGGAGACATAAAAGAATATCTGAAATCCACAACTAGACAGGGAAATGAACTTTCTGCCAGATAAATAGTTGAAGGCCATCTTGGGTACAGTAGTGGAGATTAGCATAAGGTCCATGAGGGAGAGTTGGCTGAGAAGAAAGTACATGGGAGTGTGCAGTTGGTTGTCCAGGTAAATGAGGAGAACCATGGCAGAGTTTCCTACCAAGGCCACTGAGAAGATACCCAAGACTAGAGAGAAAAGGAAGATGTGGGTTGGGCTGTGATTGAAGATTCCAAGTAGAATGAAGCCTGAGTTGAAGGACTGATTCTCCCATGCCATGATGAATAAATTCACTGTATAGAATACAACAGATAATAAATTATTGGATTTTCTTATAGAAATAACCAGAGCTCCCCTGGTAGGTCACTGCATTTCCCCAGATTGCCTAAGCATCAAAAATTTGATTTGCTATTGATTTTTATTTTTCCATTTCCATTTTTAAACTAGGAATATTAAGTCTTGTTTTCAGATTATGAGATTTATATATAAAATGTACAGTCAACTAAGCTTGTACATTAAAGAGTGAAGTCATGAGTATTTTCAAATTGTATAAGCAAGTTAGAGAAACAAGTCAACTTCATAATTGAGATCATATATACTTATGAATTTCTAAGAAATCAATGTCATTTTCACTGTGTTTTTAATGGAAGTCAGGCTATCATGTTATGATGCTAATGAAAATTCTATCTGTCCAAGTACAAAGGGAGGCATCTATTCATGGCAATGACTCAAGTTAGTCAAGCACCAGGTAAAGAGAAACTGAGAAAGTCAACAATCAAAGGTCCATTAAGTAACACTTATTCTAATAATGCAGAGTTATACTGTATTTTCATATTAAATGCCCTTTCCTCACTTCATCTTAAAAATAAGGTGTGTCTATGAGTCAGTTATAAGTCGTTTTACTTAAGAAGCAGGGTAGAACAGAGTGTATGAGCATAAATTCAAATGCCTTCTGTAAATTACCAGTGGGATTTTAGACAATTGTCTATTTACTTATGTTGATTTTGTGCATACCTGCCATTATTCACACCATAGAAAATCCTTCAGAAATTACTTTTTAAAATTACCCATTTTTTTTTTCTGTTTGAAATTTATTTTCCAGTGGAAAGTTATTGGATCAATTTGTCTTTATAATTTTAGTCATTCTAAAAAGCAATGTGGGCCTCCCTTGTGGTGCAAGGGGTTAAGCATAGCACTTTGAAGCTATCCACAACCTCTGCAGCATGATAATTCCTTCATCAAGGAACTATCCACATGGCACAAGAAACCTCCTGTCTCTCCTGTTGCTCCCTTCAGCAGTGTGTTTCAGTCAATCCACCTGTTCTGCTCCCCACTCTCTCTCTGGTGAATCCTCTTACCCTCCCCTCCCTGTACCGCTGGCCTGCATTCCCGTTCTTTTTTTTTTTTTTTTTTTTTTTTTTTTATAGAGGCATGTTTTCTTTCTTTCTTTCTTTATTTGTTTGTTTTCATTTATACATGCACTGGGTACAGTCAGAAGCGCAGGAGGGTGAGAGAATTCACCAGAGCCAGAGCGGGGAGCAGAGCAGGCAGAAGGACCAAAGTACACTGCTGAGGGGAGCAGCGGGCGGCAGGAGAGGTCTGCGCGCCATGTGGGACCCTCCTCCGGTGGCCAGGGAGCAGCCGGGGATCGAACCGGCGCCACAGAGGCTGCGGGCAGCTTCGCAAGCCAGCGCTCAACCGCTGCGCCACCGGGGAGGCCCTGCATTCCCGTTCTTGTATGCATAAATAAATCTTAAAAAAAAAAAAAAAATCAGTGTGCATTTTCTATTTCAAATTTGCTCAATTAGTTATACTTGTGTGGACTATTTCTCACCCTATGTTTCAAAATATTAATTATAGGAAACTTAACATATGTGAAGCCATCTCTTCATGATTTCTCATTTCCTTTGAACAAAATAATGTTTCAATCAATTGTGCTAGATCTTGGATTTATACCTAGAACAATAGTCTCACTTATGTCCTATATATTAGGAGATTAGGACTGCCAAGTAAACTGTTCAACTTGAGAAACTTCATGGTCCATGAACTTCTTTGACCTTTATTTTTCTTCTTGTTTATCTTTCTGCCTAGCCGGGGTTATATAGTTCTATTAAGCTTTAATCCTACTCATATAGCTGGGAAACTGAAATATTCTTGTCATCCTGAAATTCACTCTTTGCCTAAAATCCAAAATCAAATTAATCTGGAATATTTCTCTAAAGAGAAATGGCTTAAAATTGTGTTGTAATTATTTAACACCCTGGTGCCTTTGTCTTCAATATTATCTAATTCTAAGTCCTGAGTCTATTGTTAGGATTCATTGGTCATCCCAATTTTTGCTCAGACTGCTTCTCATGATCCTTGTGTTAATAACTCCAGCTTATTTTAAATCTAAGAATTTTATATTATATCAACATTCGGTTACCTCATAATATGATCCTCTGAAAGAGTAATAGTGTATGCCAGTAGAGCTAGTCACATCTAGCTGATTTCTACTAATGTCATTTGGTAAACTCATGAACAATTTGAGTTGAGAAACAGTTTAAGTTATTTAATTCCCTGTATAGAAAGGTCATATTTACAATGCAGTAGGGAGATGTTTAGCTTATATAGTCCTCTAGTTTTCCCATATTTCTTTATCCCCTCCGTATCCGCTTCATATATGTCATGTCTTAGTGAAAGTCAGATAATGTGTTATTAATAACAATGCATTTGGTTATAGATATAATAACATAAAAAAACTATTACAGACAGTAGAGCAATGGACCTAAAAACACAATGTATATTATTTTATTGTTCAATATTTAATATAATTTCACCAGGAGATAATCCACATCATAAATTTCCTTCAAATTCCTCATGATATGGAACTAATAGCCCATTTACCTCCAAATACTTCAAAAATAGCCTATGATACAAATTTGGCTAAAAAGTTAATTTATTTTTATAGATGTAATATTTGTTTACAACACTATATATGATTCACAGGTATATGTATGTGTAGGATATTGTATATATATGATTCAGTTACAGACTTGTTCATGTTCATGTTACCACAGCACACCACAAGCTACAGGATTATATTCTGAGAAAAAGGGGATTTAAGGATTGAGGGTGTTGAGAAAAGGAGTTGTGTAGAGTAACTAAGACCGTTTACATTGAAGGGAAACAAATGTTGCAGTTAGAGATGAAGCAAAATTTAACAGGAAGAGTGAATAAGGTAAGGAATAAGGTAAAGAGCATTGAAACAAGGGAACGTTGTTGAACACAGATTGAGATCCATGAGCCCACATGCTGCCTGGCGTGCTGCATTCTGTCAAGTGAAATATCATACCGCTACATTCTAAGAAAGATACAAAACCAGATGACATGCTGTCAATAAAATGGCATGCAAAATCTATCCTTGCTGGAACTTAGAAATTAGTCACCTAATCCATCACCTGCTGCAGGTAGAATCTTTAAATCACATCTCACAAACTGATTGTGATATATTTTAGAAGGGCTTATTATCAATTATTCTGAAAGAAAAAAAAAAAACTTTTATATGCATCTGCACCCATGACATTATGGATAAACTAATGTTGTAGTCTTCATTTTGTTTTGCAGTTTCCCAAAACACCTCTAGATTGTATCACTCCTTTTAAAAGTTCAGTTCAATGCAGCTTACATTTTCTGCAAAACAGACATCTCTTATTAATCTTGTTAATGAGATATTAAAAAGTAATTCAAACCTCTTTCGAGTTATCTGTTCCCCCTTTTGCGTTACAAACTCTGCCTTTCTACTTATAATTCCCAAAGACACAATACTTAAATCTGAGCTTAGGTCTCACCTTAGGAGGATTCTATTACTTGAGTGGTTTTCCTTGCCCACAGTCCTCTGCCTTTGTAAAGCACACTTCTCCTTCAAGTTCCGGCACACAAGTGTTTTTCTTCTTGCCCTTTACTTCATTTCATAAATATACTTTTCTACATATATTGGATTTATAGATGTGTGACATCTACCTTTGTTCTATACAGAAGGCAAATATTAAAGACTTTCAAATCAGCCAAATGTGGATATGCAATCTTTTTCTACAAATGCCTATGTTTTGAGGCAGGTTAATGTCTCTGAAATTATTTTTCAAATTCCCTCCATCCTTCATAAGATTGTTATGAGATAGAATTCCTCTCTAAGTATGTTTATCACAGTATGCATCTATTAAATATAATTACCATAACTGTAGTAATCTTGTCACAACATTTTCCCAAAATGTTCAATAAGTTCCATTGATATTTAGCTGTCATAATTTTAAAAATATTCTGTTTTTCTTACTAGATATTTGTTTCCTGTTTGATAAGCTGTATATTTATTTTATAAACTGTCATCAAACAAGAGGTTTTCACACAGATGAAGATCATAATATACTCACAACTGACTGAAAATACGAACAAATAGATGAGCTCTACTGGAGAATCTTGCAATTATTTTTAACTTAGCATATATTTCACTGTAAATTTACATAGCATCTTCATGGATATTATCATTCCATTTAATGTTCAAACAAAACTGGTCATAAATGTAAGAAACAGTAATTTCACAGAAATTATAAAGGCACAAGCTTCAGACTCTCTTGAAAAGAGGGATTTTAAATATCATAATTTCATGATGCCGATAGATATAGATAAAAATATTGATAGGTTATAGATAGATATGATACATATAAATAGAGAAAAATATGTATAGATATAGATATACATATAGCTGTAGGTGTATATTTTATATATAGATATAAATAAAGATATAGATATGGCTTAAGAATAAAATTTAGTTCCTTTTGAAATTCAGCACACCTTAGATATTTTGGAATGGATTATCTCCCTTTCTCTTACCTTCTAGATTTTCTCATCAAGATCTGGTACTAATTACAGAGAAACAGAAGACCTTTAAATTACTACAGAAAACTTATGCAACACAGTTTTATTAAGTCATCTGTGATTAATTCTGCACTTGCTCCAGGGAATTAAATCCCCCTTCTTCAATTAAAATATTGAATGTCATCATCTACTTTTTCTCATAAGACCTCATATAACATTAGTTTCAACTTGAAAATATGAATCCTTTGTGATATTTAAAATTTAATAAAAAGGTACCACATTATTTTTTTTTAAAGATTTATTTATATAAGAACCGGATACAGGCCAGATTCATGGGAGGGTGTGAGGATTCACCAGAGACAGAGCAGGGAGCAGAACAGGAAGACTGACAAAATACACTGCTGAGGGGAACAGTGGGTGAGACA